GATACTGATTTGCCTAAGTAACGAGTACCACAGAAAATTTATAGAACAAAATATATAGGCTGTAAAGGGCTGATTTCAACTCGGTTTTTTAAAATTCCGAGCATAAATCAGGAGGACGACCAAAAATTGGATTTGCCTACCGTCATCTGAATTGAGCCAAAAATTTCCGCAGTTACTAAGGAAACGGAAAATCAAGGTGATAGCAAAGGAGAAGACAACACTTTTCCTCAGTCTGCCGCAGCAACACGAGAAGACTGACAAACTTGATTGCTCTGGAGTTTATCGCATCAAATGCGGCAACTGTGAGCAGAAGTATATCGGTGAAACATGAAGAAAAATCGGCTTAGGAATCGAGAAACATCAAATAATCTGCAGGAACATGGTTACGGAAAAATTGCAAATAGCGGAACACATTGCACAAATTAGACACGAAATCGACTAGAAATCAACAAAGAGGCTGGCTCCATATTATAAAAATAGGAGAGAACGCATAATCCGAGAGGCCATCGATATACTGACGAAGAGAAATCGAATGAACAGGAGATTTAAAGAAGGCGCGATCAGCGAAATCTTTGTTATTGATGTCGATTGCGATGCTGGCAAAACGTCTAGGAATGTACAACATCTACTGTAAATTATTATGCATAAAATGGACTCCATACTAGGTACGTTCCTCCTGGTATTCATACAAATATAGCCAAGTTGCGAAAACAAGGTTAAACAACTTCTAAAAGTTTATAATATATTGGGCCCACAAATTGCTTTGGCATTAATAACTTAACAACTATATAATGATAGTGTGATCGATAAATGGTAAGACAAAGCATTGAAACTTAAGCAAGAAAAATAAATGAAAAAAATGAAAATAGTAAAAGAGATGAATGAAAATCATGTGTTCGAACTATTAAAGTATCTCTTTGAAATCATCACAAGTAAATGGTTATAATGGTGCTAAGAATTAGAGTGGCAAATGAGTATTTCAAGCATAATTAAAATAAAAGAAAATATAGACTTATCATTACCAAATATAAACACGCTAAAGTAAATTACAGAATCGAATGAACTAAAATTACCAAAATGTATATTTCAAATTTGAAAGAAGGAAGAGTAGGATGGGGAGAAGAAAAAATAAAATAAAGATATAAATCAACAAATATATTTTATCACAAACGAAAAAAGATGTGAGAATATGATGGCTCTTATTATATTGCAGGTCTACGTCAGCAAATAAATAAGGACTTTTGGGAATATTTGGAATATTCGGTGTAATTATGTTTAGAATCTATCCTGTATTATGGCCTTCATTTCTTGTCGAATGAAAGGAGAGGAGAAAGGTTTGGAAAATTGTCCTCACCGGAAGTCAAAAGAGGATTGTCTTAGTGTTGTAATTGAAGATTTATGCGAATCAGTACTCGACGCGAATTGCTCAAATGAAATGAAGATGTACCAACATTTATTACGCTTCACTTCATGTCAGTCCGAGGGGCTAGCAGAAACAGTCGAATGGGAACTGAGTATGGAAAGGTCGCTTAAGACGATTTAGGGACCATAAATGGAGATTTACATTAGCCAGACGAGTAGGCCTTAACATGTAATTGAATTCCAATTAGCCATGCTGCGCAAGAGGCTATTTCATTCGGAGTTTATTACAGCTACCATCTCGACTTTTAACCTCCCATCCATGATTATGTCTCAAGATTATCGTCGCAAAGTTATCACTCCTATACACAGCTTCAGATGCCAGTGTGTTTGGAGGTAGGATATGCATCTTTTAAATCAAATTTTCAGGAGTATTAGCGATCAGGCGAGTATGAGCTTTTAAGTGCAATCGACAAGATTACTTATTTTGGATGTAAGTGGATCTTGAGACTCTTAGTAATCCTTGTAAAAGACTCAGATGTTTCTTTACTCTTTTGAAAATTCCGAGAATCTTTGCCTCGACTTTATCTACCAGCTGATAAGAATGATAATTTATTCGTATCCAGAGGCTTTCTCGAAAGCATAATGATCAAGACAGAAAAAAAATAATTTTACATTTGTTTTCAAAATTAGTTAAAGTAACCGTCGAGAAGAGAGGACTCTAAATGCTGACCCAACTTATTACCTGGTTACGATATGAAATTGGCCTAGGGAGGTGAGAAAGAGGCACGTAGTGCTCTTAATGTAAGGAAAAAATCTATTAAAACAAAAGATAGTTGTTCTCAATGGCTTCTTAAGTATATTTTTTGAAATATCAACAGACGCATAAAATATTGGTACCTTCTAATGAATAGTTAATTCCTTTCTAATTCGATAAATGGACAAATAGCTAAAGATGCTATCTACTCAGAAACCAGTGTTTTTCGCTTTTTATCAACTTATAATGAGTATGCCTATGCAAACATTTATTTTGAACATTAAAATTATTCACCCGATTTCCTTTAAAATGATAAAGTGTTGATGACTGATAGTTGAATTTTCTTTAAAAATTGAAATATCCACTTAGGCGAAAAATCAGGCATCATAAACTTTCATCCGCGGAAGAGGGCAACAGGATAGGTCTGGTCAAGCCAAGACAAGCTTGCCGAGGCTGTTATCAATGCCGGCCAAATCAGTTCGAACTACTCGCTCAGCCAAAAGTGAGCGACAGTACCATCTTTTATGGAGTATCAGATTTGACACACAGACACCGGCATCTCGGGAATGCTTTTGCATTTGCGGCTACCGAGGCTGGGCACGGGATGGAATCACTAAACGCTTCCCCAATGTCGACGACTCCTTTCACATCTGATGCCAACGGCTCATGCTTTACTCAGCCCCGAAATGATAGAATCCAAGAGCAGTATCAGTCTCTCCAAGGCCAGTCTGCTTCTCACGAGCATCATAACAAAAATCGACCAAGTTCTCAAAGTCCGCTAGACCAACGTTTACACCAAAACATGTCTCAGACTAGCCTTCGGCAGACGAATATTGGTAGCCACCGTTTAGTGGAATGCGTCCGTCGGACTTGGGGACCCTCTGAAGCAAGAGCCGCCCAGGCTGCTGTTGCACGCAGCTTGTATGGCCGACTTGTTTTCTGGTTATTGTCTAGAATGAACGAAAGTTTGATGCCTCCTGAAGAACAGATGGCCTGGCAAAAGTGTCAGGCTGCAGTCGCCGCGATGGAAGCGAGTGCATCTTCAAATATGGCAACCAAGTTAGTACAATTAACAGTCGATTGCAAGTTCATTATGCTATAGGAATAGCTAATTTTCCTTTTGGTATACCAATGGTAAGTGGTGTTCCAAAGACACGCAAGAAGACCCTCTTTTATGGCTAAATATTATGATTGAAACTAGTCGAATACATAAACTTTCGCCCTTCTTACGGAAAATAATTAATATGAGATGTATTCACACTATTTCGTTTAAGGTGATCAAGGGCTGGTAGTGGAATTTTCCCTCAATAATATTAGTAAAGCTGACGTTTTCATTAAATTTCCCATAGCATTGCTTTCCTAAAAGTTTACTGGTAGTCTCGAAACTCTATTAACATACGAAAAATAAGTAACGTAGTCGATTATTATAGCAAATATACGTTTGCTTCATCGACAATTCCAGCAAAGAATATTCAATGGCAAAAGGCCTGGCCTTCCTTAAAATTCGCATTTGCTCTGTGACCCAAAGGCACTAATGGTAATGTGGCTGAGTGGTTAACGTTTCGAGCTCACATTCCGCACTGTCGA